ACGTGCTCGCCCGCGCGAGAGAGGAAGAAAAAGAGAGACACGGAACAGAATTCCTTTTACCCGGTAACCCGTTGAACCGCGCGGCCACTTTCACAGAATGACCGTTGCAGTAGTCCGGTTTATATTCGCGTTTTTTTTAACTCGAATAAATGGTGTGATGGTAGATAATAAGTTATAAACAAAATATTATAGAGTTATCGCGCGGATAAATTGCTGTCGCATATTATGACGGAAAATATGAAGACACGCGCGGCATCAATAATGAGCATACATACATGTATATTATTTAACACAAATTTTTTTTCATTTTTCAACAATAACAAAACTTCACGCGACTTCGTTATTACGTTCACGAGGCTAAGCGATTGCTATCAAATACAACAATGTCGTGTGACGAATCTAACAGGTCGCTCATTCTCTCGTTCTAGTTTCGTTACAAGTTTTTACAAGTATCATCCTATCGTCTAATTATTTATTTACACTTTCGACTGCGCACTGCGGAACTGTGACCATTCTGTGTAAATATCGAAGACACGTTTGTATTCTGTGCGCTAAAAAAATAAAAAAAATAAAAAAAAAAAAAAACAAAAAGATGACTACACCGACTACGCCGAGTATAAACCGGCGCACGACAATGCAAGTTCGCTTCGCAAGTTCGTTACTGGAAAATATTTTAACTTCGTTATCTGTGCGTGACGACACGCCGTAACACACATCATGTCACGACATTCCGTTGCATAATATATAATATTCCCTTGCATGCGCAAGTGTATTACATGGGGTACTACGGAAACGGGCGACCTACGGGCTAAATAGAACTACACTTGCTTGGCGTATGAGAGAAAAGAAATTTATATATGTGTACAGAGAAATACACGGCGAGAGGTTTTCTTTACACGTTTATATACGAACTTTTTCTCAACGCGAGAGACAGAAACAGAACGTGCTGGTTGTTACAAACTTTTATCCGCGCAATTCAGGTCGTTTATACTCGCAAAATGACGAAAACTATTGTATATCCGCTCCGTTGCCAATGCGTATACAGCAATTTTAGCTCATCGTGCGGGATGAAATACGTACATGCATTGTATTTAAAGTATAGATTGCCGACATGCGCGCGCGCGTCCGGTTGCGGTATATAACATGGGAATTATGATGATATTATATAGGGGTTAACCTAATCCGCGTTGAAGGTTACGAAGAAATTTACAAGCCTTCGTACAGACACGTGCACACACGTACACACACGCGCGCGCGCATGTGCTCGATACACACGAGAGCGCAGCGGAGTTCTCTATGGTGGCCACAATGCTCCCCCATGGTAACCCGATAATGTATTATGGATACGTGAAATTCGAAGAGAATCTCACACTCGCCGCGCGCGCACACATTTGCCGGGAAACAGAAAATGTTTGAGAGAGCACATTCGCGTATACGAGATCGTTTTTCACGCGTCTAGATTTTCCTTCTCACGCGCGTCGTTTCGCGATATAAACCGAAATTCTTAATCCGGTCAATAAAAAAGCATAAGTGCGCGACTGAGTACATTTTCGTGTAATATATATATAAATAGCAATATGATAATTATCACACGTAACGTAAAAAAAATATATCCCTGCGCGTGTGTGCATTTCATTCGCGTACGTTCAAACTGATTGTTATTCTTCGCGTGATGCGATTGCGTCTCGAGAAAGCGATTTCGTTAGCGTTTTTGATCAAAACGCTCGGCTCCGCGTGTTTGCGCGATATTTAGTCCGTTTCGAACGGTCGCGCCGCGATATCCAAGAATATTTATTCGCGAAATATTTCGGGTGTCGCGAAACTCAAAGCACCGGAAGATACACGCAGATATAGACGCGCGTACGTGATTACTAACACGCGCGGGGGGAGTTTGTATCAAGGTTATTCGGGCGCACCGGTTTAATGTTGCGCGTAATATGCGGATGTCGTGCGTCGTGTTTACCCCCGTATATAACCTATGGTTTATTCTTCGATATATATATATATACAGTAAAACCGCGCTCTCGTTGTTGCGCGCGGAGAGAAGCGCATCGACAGGGGTTGTTGTTGACAACGGAGTCTTTTTTGGACGAAGAATTTTCGCGATGTTCATTCGCGGCGAACGCTGCGGGATAACCCAATTATAAAATCGCTAAGCTTGTTAAGCGCTAAAATCCCCGTAAGTTTGTTTAGCTCGGGGCCGTTTGGTGGACGGACGGACAAGAGTAAACAATAGAACGGAGGACGAGAGAGAGAGAGTGAGAGAGCGAGAAAAGGAAGCGACGACGGAAATAAACGGGGAGGGACGCGCAAGATAGACAGAGGGAGGCGAGAGAATAATTCGGTTAGCGATGAGTCGCGTTGTTACGCAGCTCGGTATATTGTGTCCATTAACGATATGCACGCTCAAACCTAATTATAATGGACCCCTGGTAGCTGCGCGCAACCGTGATTGGTAACGGCACTTTTTTGCTTTTAACAATGCCGCCGAATAGAATCTCCTTTATGCACGTCCATCCCGCGTCAGAAGATTATTTGTACACACAAGGGTGGCGTAGATCGTGATGAGCGCGCGCGTGCGCGATGCATTATGCCCGATACGGCGCAAACCATAATTGAATGTCGAATTACGCGCTACCGATAGATACCACTAATAACATTTGCATTTCGCTGTAACTTCATCCATCATCGCAGTGAAGGTCCTTCTGCCCGAGGCTCTTTCTCTCTCTCTCTCTCTTTGTCTCTGTTTCTATATATATATGTATATATATACATATATATATTGCAATGCCTCGCGGAATCAAATTCGACAATTTCGAAATTCAACAAAAAAAAAAAAAAAAACGAAACTCTCATCGGGGGAATGCGATGTTTTATTTAACTCGCGAAGATACAGCGAGAAACGGTGAAATATCGCGATTATTTCTCTCTCTCCTTAGGTTTTAAAATAATTAAAATGATACGTCTGAGGTTTCATATCGGACACGCAATCAAATAGGGTTAATCGAATTGCAATTTCCATCCGAGATCCACAGCGTCCGCGGATTTGTCGATAATCGATTCCGTCGCAGGGAACACTGATACACGTCCACCCATAAACCATTTTGTCTCGGAGCGGTGAGGAAGCGCACAGGGTTATCGAGAAACACGATTTCTCATCTCTCGCCTCTCAACGAGATGCTAACGAACCTCCCAGCCTCTCTTTCTCTCTCTTTTTTTTTTTTCCTCTTCCTCCGCTGCGCGACGTAACTCTTGGCGACAGGTCGATCGATCGAACGGGCGGTGTGTCAAAGACGCACGATTCAGGGAAGAAAACCGACTTGGCGATATCGATGTCCCGATAGCACGGCTCGCTGATGCAAGACCCTCGCGCGCGCGCGCAAGCCGCACGAAGAGTTAGAGGTCAAAGGCGGGAGGCATCGATCAAAGTTTTCGCGCGATTTATCCCAAAGGCATCGCCATAACGAGGCGGGTCGCTGCGCGCCATCAGCTTTTTCTATAACGTACCAGTCCGCGCGACCTCTCTCGCCCGAAAACCGGTTTTTCCGTCTCGCTCATGTCGTCGTTGTCGTCGTTGTCGTCGTCGTCGTTGTCGTCGTCGTCGTCGTCGTCGTCGTCGTCGTCGTCGTCGTCGCCTCGCAGCATCTGGCATCGGCACCGTGAGGGAGAGAACTCGGCGTTTCCCGAGATGTCTCTCCCGAACCGGTGACAACTTGAGCTCGACTCTCGGGACCGATTAGCCGCCTTCTATCGATAGTCGGAAACCCGCATTTACCGCGCTATTATCGCTTTAGAGAGGGAAAAAGGAAATAAAAAAAAAAGAAAAAAACATTATGATATCACGAGTGTAAGCGATTTCTGCAATGACAGCGCCATTATCGCGTCTAAAGGTTGGTACTCGGTAGAGTCACTAGATACTTAACATGTGATCGAAGGATGAGCGTCACATGGCGCAGTCATGACAAGCTAATCGAGAACCTTCGAAACGGCGGTTCTTCCTGCGAGCAGGAATCGACAGCGTATTCATATTTGAGAAGTCGAGCGAGTTAGCAGCTNTGAGNCATAGCNGTGATCTCGTNACAACTTACTTTTCGCGACTTAGAAGATTTCTGAGTATAAAAGACAGTNTTGTACAATCAGGTGTTTGATTNNAGTGTTNAATAAAATTTACTAATATTACCGAATTAATTTCGAACATTTATTTAAACCGGTCGGAAGATCTTCTTCAAGAAGAAGACGGATAACGAGTTAAACAAATTAATTGCTTACACGAGCGAAGGTTGGTCTCGCGGGACCGTTCTGCGGGAGTAAAGACAGTAGCGATGAAATCATAGAGGCCGCGCAACGCGGAAGAGACCAAAAGGAAGACGTCCTCTCGCCCCGGATATATATTCCCCTCCCCCACTCGAACGATCTGTCCGCGTGTACAGCCCGAAGGATGCGGAAGTCTCGCGTTTCTTTACTATTTGTGCAAGTGTGCGTGACGCTAGGATTGTTTTCCCAGCTCCTCCTCGTGAGACCCCCTCGGGGGTCTCCTAATGCGTTGCACGTTCTTGTGTTGCACGGCGAGTCGGCGCCGATCTCTTTCTGATGTTGCGACAGCTTGCAACGCGCAGCGCTAGAGTACTTTGTTCTCTCTTTGTGACAAACGCACAACTCTGTCACATATCTCTCGGTGTCTCTCACGCGATGGAGTGGACTCCGAAATTCCACCGCGGCTACCGTATATTTCGCGTGACTATCCCTCACGTTTTATCGCGCTACGGTAATGCGATTATATTTTTTTTTTTTAAATTATATCTTCTACATTATTATAGTGTAGAAATGTATCAAGAAGGAAAAAAAAACAGACAACGTTTTGTGTCTTCCGATTGTTATTCTACGATAAATTTCGAATATTTTTCTCGCGATTCTGACGATTAGATTGATAAGAAAATTAAACTGGCGAAGATAAAAAGAATGTGTGTAGCTAAGGCCAAGTTTTTAATTGCTCGTTTCAGGGAAGGGACGGCTTTATCCGGCCTACAGTCTAAGTGGCAGCGAGGGTGAGGATAACACCTCCAGTTTGCGTAGCCGCGCCTATCCGCAAAACAATCACCAGACCAACCAGTCGCATCACAATCATTACAACACCGGTCACAAGCAGCGCGGATATCAACAGCAACAACAACAACAGCAGCAGCAGCAGCAGCAGCAGCAGCAGCAACAACAGCAGCAACAACAACATCCGCTGTATCATATGCCCGGCAGTGGTGCCGGTCTCAGTGATACACCAACTTCCGGCAACGCGTCCGACGAAACACTCACCGACAGCGATCTCATCACCGTTGCTCGTGATTCCGCGCTACTCGTTCATAACGGTAAGTGCAAATCCGCGCCGGAAATCAATTTGATCGAAATCGAAACGCGAACTAAAGTCGCGCGTCGAATTATATTAATGAAACTTCGATGTGTGATCTCGAGCGACGATCATATGTCGCCACACATAAATACTCGTCGATAATCGAACCGATACACTTTCATTTGAATACTAAACATTTGTTGTTTTTTTTCTCTCTCTCTCTCTTTTTGTTACATCCAATAACATCGCATTTTCAATATCTTTTACGATCGTAAACTCGAGGAACAAAATTTTCAGTCCGCTCGATAATATCACAGTTCATCTCGCGTTAACGGAACAAATCTTTCGAAGATAATATCCGCGGGCAGAAGACAGAACGGTAAAAGGACACGTGCGCGACAGAGACTCGGTCATTCGCAATAACGCGAAATCGTTCCCCTACATTACTCAAACATGATGGATGGCCCTTGCGGCGATGAGGTGTGAGGCCACACACAGGGTTGTCGTAGACGGGAGAGGGGGGTTATCGGCACGCCGGCTTGTCAGGGATGACGTATCGCTCTGAAGGTATATACACACACACACACACACACACACCATATCTCGGAAAGCGCGCCCCGTCTAGCGCCGTCGTCCTGCACCACCTTTCCACGTCCGCCACGTACCACCTGGAAACCAAGCCGGCTTCGACTAACTCCGTACTCAACGTGCGGTGGACACTTGCGCGCGTGAAAGGTATTTATCAACCGGCCGTATATATAAGACGAGTGAATCAATTCATCGCGCACACCCGTTACCCGGACTCTATATTGACCGATCGGGAAAGGAAATGTCCGTATGCAACGCGATAGATAGGTGCATATAGTCGGTGGCGTGTGTAATGTGAAATCCATCCCCCGAGTGCAGATGGTGAATGCGATAAAAACCGATCCTTTCCCCCGATAAACTCCTCTCGGTGATATCTAAGTAATGCGCGTCGCGAGCCATAAAGAATACGAAAGCTTCCCCGTAAATGGATACAAGTGTTATAATGGAGATGTATTCGCGGTAGAGATTTTTCGAGCGGTCGGGAAGAGCGGTATCCCCGAGCGTGACGTAGCATCGAATCTCCGGTGCGACTCTCGTTTCCGGAGAAAAAAAAAATATATATACGACTCGGACGGAGGAGGGCGGGTCTTTCCTTTTATATCGGGCGTAATGCGAGAGAGATACTATAATACAGCGCCCGGAGAGCTCGTAATATTACAATCCAGCCGCAATTCTCGATACTCCATTAAGATTTTCAGCTGAATCATAATGACTGTGACGACTGGTGCGAACGTGCGCGCGCGAGATGAAAAGGAAAGCGGAGATATACTCGCGGATTTCAATCTCCAGCGTGACGACAACGACTCCCGCCTATTCCCTCAACGTGACAACACGCTGCCGCCATCCATCATTCGTACGCCTCTCCCATTCTTCCACGAGCGAATAATTCCTGGCTCCCGTGACAGACCGGGGGACACATCCTGAACGCATAATGCTCGGAGGTCAATCCGGCTCTCGCATAAACGCGCAATTACTGGGGACCACGCGGATTAGCATGACAGTGGAAATCATCGCGTCATCCGAGTGAAAGGGGGTGGTATTAGACGATTACATTACCGTTGCACACAGTGTGCGTCCTGGATTAATAGCAACGCCTTCGATCATTCCAAGATGACATGTTTGCCGCCACGTGACGGGAATTTCTTTTGAACGTATACGCCAACCCCTCCCGGAATGTATATCCGATGTTTCTTCTTATCTCTGGAGCGGAGTTCTTGGCCAAACAAATGACGAAGAAAAAAAAATATGTAACATGTGTATACAAAACGTTATTTACCCCCCCCGCCGAGACTACCGTTACCATCGTTCTCTGATTAACATTCGGCGGCAATCGCCGTTTTCGTCGTTTTCAACTCCCTCGAGCGAATTAGGGATTTTCGCTTCGGCGTGCGAAGCTGAGGCAACGGCGGGCGTGACGAATTTCCCGATTCCGCCGCGCGCGGAATCGCGAGCCACGTTAATGAGACGGAAGTAATCCTTCCCCTCCCTCCTCTACCCCCACAGAGTCCGGGGTTATTCATTCGTCCTGGTTGAAAGCTCTCCTGGGTCGGTCATAGTTCCGGCGCAGGAATGGATTTCGCCGCGAAATTCCGGTCGTGCACTCTCTAATCCATGTCGCCGTCTCCTCCGACCTTCGATATTCACACGAAGGAAGAACTCCCCCGCCCGCTTTTATCACAAACGCGCACCCACCACTCTTTCACCGGAATTCCTCCGCCGCGTATTATAAATTTCCCAGATAATTAATGTCGTCTCCGCGCTGTACGACCTTTTTGCAAGAGAGCTTAAATTACAAATGATTGTAGATAAGCGACGGTACAAGTACTTTAACGCGAAATAAAAAATCACGAAGTCTAATTACCACGTATTTATGTGCCGATTATAGTTTTTTGTTTTTTTATCTGCATTATGTATTTTTTTTTTTTTTTTTATGTATTATCCAAACGAAGCTTGTGAAACTTTTATCCGGCAATTTATCGCGTTTTTACTCGAGCCATTACTTCAGTCTTGCTGATTTTTTTTCTCTACGCGCGCATGTACACGTGTAATTTTGTATCATCACGCAACGATTTATCAAATATCCTTCGGCGACACACAGTCTTTTGTCACCGATCGGATAATCACAGCTCGTTATATACCGAAGAACGTGCGATGATCGGGCACTTCTGTTTCTCTTCACTCTCCTTTCTTGATTATATATATATATATATATATATATATATATATATATATNTATATATTTATATATATATATATAAATATCCTTTGTTGCTCACGTAGAATATCGGATTTCGTCTGCGTCGCCTCGCATTAACGAGCGCCTATCATCGCGAATATCTCCGTAACGATCCGTTCTGCTTCGACGAGTTAGTCAGCTCGTTAACACTTCGTTTGATCCTACGACTGACGACGTTTCGACGCGCGTCGCCTCGCGCGTGATAGACGCTCTCGCAACTCACTCCGATATAGAGAAGCACGCGACAACGTGCGTATATCGCGTCACTGTCTTCCACATAGTAGGCCGGGCAAAAGCTCTCTCCGCGCGCGCCGACTGCATTTCCGCCAGGTAGACAGGCGCGTAAATAAAAATCAATACACACCCTTTCGCGTTCACGCATCTCCCCCGCCGGGGGATTTTCCTCCTTGTTTCTTCGCGCCCTCTCATCGCAAGGCTCCTTCCCTCCTCCCCCCATTTTCTCCCGTCATCTCCACGAGACTTCGCCTCTCCTTCGCGTTCTGTTTCGCGCCCAATTTGCGGCCCATCATCGCTACGGAAGAAGCAATTTCTAACTTAAATGAAACTCCCTCTTGCTCGCGCGCTCGCCTACCCCCTCGATCGACAGGAGACGCCCCCGATCTTGCGTTTCAGCAAGTAGGGTTGAGCGCGAACAGGCCGTCTTCCGCACCCTGGAAGCTCTTCCTCTCTCTGCGAACGAACGGCTACCGCATGTTAACTATACGTATAGCGGCGCTATACGTTCTCCGAAACTGCCTACACGCAACTCCTAACGTTCCTGACGAGATTATGACGCGAGCTCCGAACAATGCTCCGTAAATGCACGCAACTCCAATACGCCATGGAAATTCGCATGGAAATTCGTTTACGATCGAATGCCATCTCTTTTTCTTCTCTTCCTCTCTCTCTCTCTCTCTCTTTCTCTCTCTGTGTTATTTAAACTACCGTAACAATGTTGGTAACAATGTTGGTAACAAGTTGAAGCTTTTTACTATAATAAATGACGATACGAGAGTTTATAGGAAATTTTAGTGAATTAATTTTATCTGGTTGCGTGTAAAACGCAATTAAAATACTATGTGGTGTATATTTTTTTGTATAAAAATACGCGATCGTTAATTTTCGCGAGAATTACGAAATTTCGGCCATGTTACTCCCAGAGAGAAATATATATATATATATATATATATATATATATATAGCTAATAGCATTAACTCTCGATGCGTGGATTATCTAGTGTTCACTCAGGTACATTGTATCCGAAGTATCACTAAACCGCTTACAGGCTAGATATTACATCCCTGCCAAGATCATCGCGCAAACTTGCGGGAAACTGCAGCTGCAAGTACTTCCCTCCTCGCGTCAAATCATTGCAAGTGGGTGATCGCCCGGGACGCGAGCGGCGCATTCCCGAACTTTTCTTTTCCCCTCCTTCCCCTCCCTCCCCCCCGCTGTCCCACGCGTTCCCGACCGGAGCTTGCTCAGCCACTTGCCACAAGGAGAGCTAGTTAACAGTTTGTTACGTCCCTGTCACTATCACGATGCAAAACCGGAACTCCTACTAACTAGCTTCTTGTAGCGCGCCGCTATCGCGATTATCGTTTGTCGCCCATTCAGCGTATCTATTACATCGCCGTAAGCAATCCGCAAATCGATCGCGGTGCCTGTTTTACGACGCTCGGGACAACTTCCGCGCGCGATCGCGGAAAGTTCACTTCGAATTTCGATTAACGTTTTTCCTTATTTGCACACTCGCGCGCGAGTGTAACAATTGACACGTGCATCTATATCTTCGGAGACTTCCAGAGAGTGTTAAATCTCTCTCGTGTAATTGTTGCGAAGTAATTTTGTGCGAAATGATTCAGAAATTGGAAATTAGATCTGCCCGTTTCGTGCTGCAGCGCGTTATCAACGTTTTTGTTTCTTTTTCTTTCTTTTTTCTTTTTTTTTTTTAATACCGAGATTGATAACAGCTTACCGGGAAGGCGGTAATAAAGCAGGACTGACAAAGAAGGTTAGCGCGGCGCGCTATCGCGTGGCTGGAAGTTGGCGAGATTGCCTGGCAGTCTCTCGATATGGCCTGGGTAGAAGCGCGGCGAACTTCGATAATCTTCTCTTCAGCGAGAGCGGCCCAGGGCCCAAGTTTGGCAATCAATGCGAAGTAACAGTTTAATTAAATACGGGGGTAACCCTT